GGGAAGCAAAATATAAACTATCGGTAAAAATGAGCAAAAGGTACATGAGAGTTCTTTGATTTGACATCCTTTCAGCTTTTCTGTAGGTTTGAAGTTGTTTTAAAATAAAATTAGCCATGGGAACCAGCAGTTAGCGTAATGGCTATGTCGCTGGACTCCTATGGAGTTGACTGTGGTTCGTGTCCCGGACCCGGTGGCTTAAAACTCACGCCGGGCGCGTGTGCGTGCATGCCCATGATCCCAAGAGAAGAATGGAGGAGAAGGGATTGTGGCGTGACCATCCCCCCGGGGGTGATTTCTCGCTTTCTGTCTCTATGTCTCTCTCTGTCTGTCTGGCGAGCGCACACGCCCTATACCAAAAAAAGAAAAAGTAAATTAAAAAAATAAAATAATAAAATAAAATTAGCCAAAAACAATTGACTTCGAACAACTATCTTATAAAACATGCTATGAGCAGACACCCCGTGGCTGGTGGTTAGGGGCGCTGGCCCCACATGGCTAACGCTGGCTGGGCTTAGGAACGCGCTGGGCGTGTGCAGTGCCTGCCTCCCCGCGGCAGAGACACGGAGAAAGGGCCGTGAGCACGTCCTGGGGGCCTTTCCCCCCTCACGCTCTGGCTCTGGCTCTGTCTCTGTCTGCAAGCACGTGGACCCCCTGGCACATAAAATATGTTATTAACTACTTTATGGGGAAATGCCGCGTGTCTTATTCACCCAGCCATCGAGCCCTCCCCGTCCTCCCTGCCTTCTCCGGATAAGGTCCTCCTGTGGCTCTTACTGCTCCTCCATCAGCTCTGACCCCGAATCCTCTCCCCCTCCTCTGGCCGTGCCCTTACGTGACATGGTGATAGCTGTTTGGCCACAGGTCAACACTTGACAGAAGACGGGTCAGTCTAAGAATTTCCCCACAGCGTGCCCTGGGCCACAGGGGGTTCAAAGCGGGGACGCCGTGACGATGCTGCAGTTGGGTTCCCCGAAAGGAGACTGAGTGACTGCAGGTGGTCAGGGAAGTCCTGAGGCGTTCTGGCACAGACACACAGACCACCTCACCTTTCCGACCACCTGCTATTTGGGCACGAGCAGGGGTGTGGGAGCCGGTCCCAGAAGCAGAAGCATGGTCAGAGAGCGGAGTGAGATGGGGCGGGCCGCAGCCGGGGAGGGACCCCGCGTGCAGGTGGCGGCGCTTCTGAGGAGCCTGGAGAGCCAGCGCACACCCCAGAGCGCTGCCCAGGTGTTCCATCACCCTGGGCTGAGCGTGCTGCCTGCTGTGTGAACCGCCTGGCATTTTGTCCTGCCCACCTGCCACCCCAGCCCACTCCTCCGGCCAGAGACTGTCTTCAGGCAGAAGAGGCAGGTGCCTGCCCATAGGAGGACGATTCCCCCCTCAGGGACCTTGGGTGGGTGGGCCACCACAGCGTCTGGG